TCCTCTCAGTGTATTTTGTTGTAGTCACTCCGTTTCAGATTTTCTGGGGTTTTTTTTCCATTTCATTTTAACTTGATCATATCTCCTTTCCGGAGTGTTTGTTCCACTCTGTCCTCTGATTTCAAGATTTCATTCCCTTTCCTGAAAGATGGCACTGCCTTCCCTTTCACCACACACAGGGAAGATGAAATTCAGAGGAAAATTGGAATTTCTCAGGGAAAATTCCCCTTGGAACCACAGGTCTCATCCCAGCAGGCACCATTGATCCTCCTCTGTCCCCCATCCCTCCCAGGATGACACCAGATGTGAATTTTTGGGTTATTTATGTCCCAAATTCAGCATTTCCCAGCCTGGATCAGCTGGGATCCCACGGGAAGCAGAGCCCAGGCCAGCCCCCCATGGCTGCAGGAGTGTCCCTGGGATATTTTTGGGACATTTCTGTCATTCCCTGGGGGTTCTCAGCCCTGGGAGCCTGGGGAGGGGTGGCAGGACCCCCTCCCATCCACTCCCTGCTAATGTGAATCCCAGGAAAAGGGCAGCTCACTCACCACCTCTGCTCTGCAGCACAAATGGGGATTTTCCGAATTTTTTAAAGGAAAAAGAGGTGAGGAAGGAGCAGCCGAGGGTATCCAAGCTCTCCCAGCAGCAGCTCCGGGATGCAGCAGGGAAATTTCACTTCCAAGTGCTCCAAGCAGATACAAAACACGGATGCAGACCCAGGAGCTGTGCTGGGGCTGTCCCGGCAGGATGGATGGCAAGGGGGAAAAGGAAAGTGACAGAGAAATCAGCAGGATTTAGCAAATTACCCAACAGCTCTTTGAAGATGGGAAGGGTGGGATAAAGCTCTTAGAAATCCCCAAATAGCCCAAACTGGGAGATAATCACTAGCTGGACTCTGGCCAGGCATCCCAGTCCCTGCCATCGAGGAAGAGCAATCACTGGAAAGCCTCCTGGCACCTTCCCTATTTACAAAAACTCTTTGCTTTTATTTCTTTATTTTCTTTTTTATTTTTTCCTAATAGAGGGTGCTTCCTCTCTGGAAGAAGCCACACAGAAATTGCTCAAATGACAAGAAAACAGAGCTTCCATCCACCCAGGGCAAAATCCACTTTGCTTCCACTCTCCCGCTGCTTAGAAGACCTTTAAAAACTCCCCCTGTCCCCATTTATCTTGAATTTCAGTGGGGAAGATGAAGATGATGTTCAAAATTGAGATAATCCCAACCTGAGATATTTGCCCAAATCCACTCCCCTGTGTTTGAACAGGGTCACATCTTCTACCTGAGACCTGGAGGAGCAGGAGGATGGCCAGGCAAAGCTGGATTTTGGGATGTTTTTTTTTTCATTTTTTGAATAAAAAAGCTGCTGCCCAGGAGCTGCAGGAGAATGGCCAGGCAAAGCTGGATTTTGGGATGGTTTGTTTTATTTTTTGAATAAAAAAGCTGCTGCCCAGGAGCTGCAGGAGAATGGCCAGGCAAAGCTGGATTTTGGGATGGTTTGTTTTATTTTTTGAATACAAAAGCTGCTGCCCAGGAGCTGCAGGGGAATGGTGAGGCAAAGCTGGATTTTGGGCTGGGGCTTTGCTAAGCTGCTCTGCCAGCCTTGCCCTGCCAGAAAGCAGCAGGATGGGGATCAGCAAAGCCAAAATTCACTCTGGGCAACCTTCAGGGCTTGGAGGAGCTCCCAGGTACATCCCAGGGGTTGCAGTGAAGCAGCACAAAGGCACAAACCCCAAACCAGCCTTGCCCAAGGTTCCACTTTCCCTTTTCCCCAGTGCTTATCCCAAATCCAAGTCCCCAAGCTGGAGGGAAGCCTGACTCACTCCCTATCTCAGCCATCAGTCATCCACACACGTGGCTTTGGTGTGTGGAAAAAAAAAGGAATTGCTTGAATTTTCCAATAGTTCAGGGCCAGATATCCCTGCTGGCACGGAGAGCTGTGAATTTTTCACGGGGGCCCTTCACTCCTTACTCAAAGTTTGTGTTTTCAGCTCCAAACCAGAGCAGCTGCAGGAGGTTTGCTGCAATCCCACAGCACGTGGCTTTGCTGGGGTGTTTTGTCCCCTTTTCCTGGCCATAGGGACAGACAGACAGACATCACCCTGAGGGCAGCACCCACTGATTGCTGGCACTGGGTTTTGGGAAGTGGCTTTGGAGCTGAGCTGCTCTCCAAGGAACCTTTCCCACAAGGAGAGAGGCAGGGAGATAAAAGAGTGGCCATGGGGGAGAAAACACTTTTTCAGATGTCTTTGATCCCTTTTCCATGCTGGAAAACTTCCTGCACAATCTGACTTTCCTGAACAGCAAACCTGCCCCTTCCAAGCCTCAGGAACCCCAAAGGTGACAAGAGCTGCACTCCAGGACCTGGGTTTCCTTGAGCAGCATTAAACACATCTGGAATGGGACCAGATCCAAGCCCTGAGTTCCAAAGGATCTGGGAAGGAGATTTTTCCTTGGCTCCTTTCACACCCCAACCCACAGGCCAGGCTGGGACCTCAGCAGCAATCCAGCCCTGCAGCACTGCCTGGACACCCACCAAAGCTCACCCAAACATTTCCATCTCCCAAATTCCTCCTTCGCAGCACTCCAGCACAAGTTACAGCTTTTGGGTTGGATTTGCTGCCTGGAATCAGCACCCCCTGAGCTCCAGAGCCACGCTGAGGAGCCCAGGCCAATTTTTCCTGGCCATACAGACTCAGGCTGTGTTTACCCAGGGCTTGGAAAAATGATTCAACTTTTATTTTAGCTCAGAGGAGAGACCAAGGGGTCACCTTTAAGCTAAGGGTGGTATAAATAGAAGCTGAGTGAAAAAAGCAATGTACAGAGAGGCAGGAGAGCCTCTCCAGGACCCCAGAACCCTGAGCAGGGACACATTTAAAAGAGAAGGTTAACAGGGACCAGGGTCCAGGCCAGCTCCATCCACCTCTGCATGGATAAGGACAAGCTCCCAGCTGCCTCAACATATAGATTTATGTATATTTGTGGCACAGAATTCAGAGCAAAAGCCAAAACTTCTGCAGCACTCCTGGCCCTGAGTGTTCTCCTGCTCTCACACATCGTGCCAAGGCTCTGTCAGAGTGAAGTCAGTCTGGGGGAAGAGAGGGCTGGGAGCTGGAAAATAACCCTGGTGACTAAAGCAGGCAACTTTCTGGGGACTTGGAGAACATCAGTATCTCAGGAAACCACCACCAAACACTGGGATGAAGTTACTTTTCACTCAGCTGCCAAAACAAAAAAAAACAAAAACAAAACAAAACAAAACAAAACAAAACAAAACAAAAAAAAAAAAAAAAAAAAAAAAAGGTTTAAAGCACAGCCAGTGGCACCCAAAGTTGAGCAAGGCAAAGCCACCAATGAGGAGCTGCAGCACAGCCCTGATGCTGCTGGGGTTGCTCTTTGTCACCTGCACAACCCCTGCTTCCCTCACCATCCATCCATCCATCCATCCATCCATCCATCCATCCATCCCATCCCATCCATCCCTGTTGTGGTGCTTTGAGCTGTGCAGAGGGTGTGGAGAGCACCAAGGGCATCCAAAAAGCCTCTCCTGCAGAGTAAGAGCCTCAGTGCTGCACAGGCTGATTCATTTGGGGTTTTGCCAGCACACAATCCCAGAATTATCAGACTGGAAGCCCCAAATTTCCCAGCACACGGCCCAGGATTGTGTCCAGGCAGCTCTGGGATCTCTCCAGGGAAGGGAGGCTCCACACTCCACATCCCCTCTGGACAATCTGATCCAGCTCTCACCTGCATTGGGAAGAATTCTTCCTCATTTTCAGGTGGAGCTTCCTGGGCATCAGTTCCTGCCCTTTCCTCCTGTCCCACTGCTGGCTCCCTGCACACAGGGACAGCCAGGGATGGGAGCCCCTCTCAGCATCTCCTCTCCAGGCTGAGCAGCCCCAGCTCCCTCAGAGATGCTCCAGTCCCTTCATCCTCTTCATCCCCCTGCTCTGGCCCCACTCCAGGAGCTCCTCTTGCCCTGAGGAGCCCAGAACTGGACACAGCTGTCCAGATGTGCCTCACACGGCTGAGCAGAGCAACGAGGACTCTGCATCTCCCTGCTGACCCTGGCACTGCCTCCTGCACAGCCTCTGGTGCCAACAGAAACCTGCAGGGGGACAGGGGAGAGCAGGAGCTCAGCACTGGAGCAGCTCCAGGCCCAGGAGTGGCCTCAGGGTGTTTTTATGAGGAATCCAGAGCTCTCCTCCCATGGTTCTCACCCTCAGGAGAAGAAACCAGCTCAGTCTCAGGGCTCTGGAACAGGACAGGCCCAGCAGGGGAACGGGGCCTCTCTGCTGGAAACGCGCCCGGCACGAGAGCAGAGAGCAGAGAGCAGCTTTCTGCACTTTCCCAGCCCATGGGGGAGGAGGAGGAAAGGATTTTGTTCTCCACAGGAAAAGGGATCCATGGATGTCCCTGCACAGCACAGGGGTGTGGCTCCATCTCAGTCTCATGCTCTAGGACATGGAGAGCCATCCTTGTCTCTGAAAATGGAGATTTGGGTCCCTGGTGTCCTCTCCACCCTTCCCAGCACCTTTTACCATGGGCTGAGGGTTTTATGAAGCCCTTCAGAGTCAGACTCACACCACAACCCAAACAGCACCTTTGTGGCTTTGCCTCACAACGTGAAAGAAATCTGTAAATGCTTTAAAAAAAAAAAAAAAAAAGCAATTTCCCTCCTTTTCAAACACTGGTGGAGGCTATAACTGAGTGAAACATCCACAAGAAGCAGCAGTGAATGACTCCATCCCTTCAGACACTCTCACAGGAAATTAAAGACCTGTTATTAGCAGCAAATACAGCAGAGTGATGCCTGCAGGTCCATCCACCCATGGATGATCCCTTGCCACACACAAGCCAGAAGGAGAACCAACATTAGCAGAATATCATTTGTTCAGCTGGAAAACCTGATCCTCTTGGTCCAGACCCACCCAGAACTGGGAGGATTTTCCACATTCCCAGTTTGCCAAGGCACAAAATGAGAGGAGACCATGGCACTTACTGGTTTGGGGCAGTGGATGTATCTTGCCAGGCTGATGATGAGGTCGTGGGTGATGGGATCCACCAGGTTTCGGAAGCTGGCGTAACGATAGAGGACATCATCCAGAGAGGTGGACTCCATCCCTAAATCCTGCAGGAAACAGGGCAGAGCAGCAAGGTTAGGTGGGACAGAAAAGCCAGAGGTTCTTCAAGTTAGCCCTGACTGCAGGAGGAAATGATCCCCAGCAGCTCCCACTGAAAATGTTGTTGGAGGGTTTTTGTTTTTCCCGCAGTTTTGGTGACAAAGAGAAGGAAGGGACACCTTGTGCCACCTTGAGGGAAGCTGGCCTTCACTTGCTCTGCAAAGAGGCTTTAGAGCTGCAGGATCAGCCTCATAAACCCACTGAGTCAATGACACCCTTGCAACAGGATAAAATGCAAGATGACCCCAGAAAACATCACACAGAGCTGCAGCTGGAGGATAAATGCAGCACTGGAGTGCCACAGACACATTTTATGGAAAATACTTTCCTTAGGATTTTTTTCTCCTGAGAAGCTGAGAGGCCTCAGAAACAAAATGTAAACAATGATTATCTGCTGCTGTGGAATGCAAGAGGTGCATCTGTGATTGGTCTCATTGGTTGTTTTTAATTAATGGCCAATCACAGTCAGCTGGCTCAGACTCTCTGGTCAGTCTCAAGATTTTATTATCATTCCTTTCTTTTTCTATTCCTTGCAAGCCTTCTGATGAAATCTTTTCTTCTATTCTTTTAGTATAGTTTTAATAGATCATTTTCTTTTAATATATTAATAAAAAAATAAACCGGCCTTCTGAAACATGGAGTCCTCTCTGAAACAAGATTGTCCCCCTCTGAAACAAGATTGTCCTCTCTTCCCTCCTCCTGGGACCCCTGTGAACACCACCACACTGGAGGAGTTCTGGGGCTGCTGTGCACAGGGAGGGAGGAAGGAGCCCAAAACTGCAGCACTGCAAACTGGAGGATGGATTGGACAGAGGGAAGAGCCAAATGCTGGGTTAGACTGACTGGGAGGGAGTGGAAGCTGTGCCAGACTGGACAAGGTGGAGTCAGGAGCAGCTCAGGTGGAGCTGATCCTGCCCCAGGGATGGGCCAGACCTCCTGAGGTCCCCTCCAAGGCTGATTTCTATGGTTTGTGTTTCTCAGATTGAATAATTTGAGGAATTTTAGCAGAGAACTCCCCGTGTGGAATCCATCATATTATACGTGAGGGGAAGGGTTATACACGGCGTGCTCCTTTCACCTCAAATATATTCGTGTGTATAATACCCAAACAATCTTTTTATTCCTTTTAGAACTACTTCTACTTCCCACGGAGCTGGTGGCACCTGGCACAAAGAATTTCCTCCTGACAAACACAAGCCAATAACATTTTGCCACCGTGCAATAAATTAAAGCTTGTCCTGAGCTCAGAGATGCTCCAGCCCCAAAAACCCCACGGGAAAGCACATTGCTTGTAGGTGTGGATGCTCTGTGATTTCAGACAGGTTGAAAATAAACATCCACACTTAAAAAAAAATCCATTGAGCCTTCAGACACAACAGCCCGAGGGATCTCACATTACAGCAATTACAGCTCAGGCCACAAACGAGGTGACAAGTGTTTATCCCACTGCTTTCCTTGGTATTTTTAGGATCAGCCCCGCAGCACTGCCTGAGTTAACAGCAACTCCTTGACTGCAAACAGGTTATTTAGTAAAAAAAGAGAAAGTTAAAAATCACACACGTGTGAGGCTGCCCAGCTGGGAAAATCAAGTGGCGAAACTGATTTCTGGTCTCACAGCTTCTGCCAAATTACTATTTACAAATTATACAGATTATATTATAGTATAAAAATTATATATATTATACAAATTTCTATTTACAAATTATATTATAGTATACAAATTATATACATATTATATTATACTAATTACTATTTACAAATTTATACATATTGTTATTTTTGTACTTTAAAAAAATCTCAGTGTGGAGAGACCTTGGGCTTCTTTGCAAGGGGAAGAAGAAATAGAAATTGTGGAGGGAGGTGCTCAAAGGAAACTCCCACTTTTCTAGCATGGATGTCACCTTCCCAGTTTGGAGAAGCTCAGCATTAGGATCAAGCAAATATCAAATAAAAGCGGGATTTGGTCCCTGATCTGTGGCAAACACCAGAGGGCCAATCTGGGGACTTGGGACAACTCACTGGGACCTTCAGAATCAAACCAAGCTCAGCATCTTGCCCTTTCAAGCATCTCAAAACTCTTCACCATTTTCTCCTCAGCTAAAATGAAGAAGTCCAGCTCATAAATCAGAGAATTTCTCCTCCTCTCTGCTGGGGGAACTTTACATTTTCCACGTGGAGCGTTCCCTGCTCCCTCCTGGTTCTCCCATTTTTTTAGGCACAGATGTTTTCCTCAGCTGCTCCCCAAACCTCTCTGCCACACCAGCACTGTCTCTTTTCCACCACACACAATATTTTTAAAGCCTCTGAAGGCTGAAGCTTGTTCGAGGCCAAGTGATGAGCTCATCTGCAATTTAATAACTTAACACCAGTTCATGCTGTCAGCAGCAAATCACCCATCACTGCCTCTGCAGGAACGCCCAGCATCTGGCTCCAGCCACTTTTTTTCAGCACATTCCTTTTTCCCAGGGGATTTTACCTGGATGGCAAGTGCAGATTTCAAATAAATAAGGGTTTAAAGTGGGTTTATGAGCCAGGCATGGCTTTCTCAGGGCAGATTTGAGGGGTGTCAGGAGCGGATCCAAACCCCTGAACTCTGCTGGGGTGCTTTGTCCAGGTGTGGCAGGAAAATGGGAACATCTCTGCAGGAAAAAGGGGAATTTTCAAATAGAAATCATCCATGACTTCTCTGCAGTTCATCCCATTTGTTTCCAGCTTTAGGAAGCTGAAAGGCAAACCATTGATCCATCTTGATCCACTGGAAGGAAAACTTCCTGCCACCAACCAGCTGAGCCCCCATGGGAGACTTCTGCAAATCTAGCAGTGTAAAGCTATCAGGTTAAAAAAAAAAGGAAAAAAAACCCCAAAACAAAACAAACAAAAAACAAACAAACAAACAAAAACCCAAACACAAACAAATAAAAAACCCACACAAAAAACCCCCAAAAACAAAACACAAAAAAACACCAAAAAACCCAACAACCAAAAAAAAAACCACCAAAAAACCAAAACAAAAACCCTCAACCACCTACCCCACTTTGAGGGGTGAATTTGAAATTTATATCCAAAAATCCAGCAGAAAATAAACGTAACATGTTCCTCCAGCAGCCAGCAATAGAAATTCTCCAGCCACAGCCATGAAAGGTATAAAAAAAAACCCCAATTATTTTTGAAAAGAAAACCCCAAGCCCAGTGAAAGGCACGGGGATGCTGTGCCCGACCTGTTATTTGCAGCAAAACCCACAGAAACATCTGTTTTCCCCCAAAACTCAGAGCTCACCCATCACTCTGCAGTCCAACATCACCCAAGGAAAACCAAAAAAATCTGGGAGCTGCACCCCCAACTTTTCTTTCCCTCATGTAAAATCTCTTTCTGCTGTCCAAAAAGAGATTTTACATGAGGGAAAGAAAAAAAATTATTTCTGCTGTCCAAACTGCAATTTTTGGGGGTTTTTTGATCCTTTGGAAGCTCCAAATTGTGTTTCCACCAGTCCCAGCATCCCCCAAGCCACACAGATCCATAACCAACCACAGCCAAGCCCATTTTTTGCTTATTAAACTATTTATCACTGCAAATTGAATTGTAATTAGGGGGAAATGCAGCAGGTCCCTGTGAGGAGTCATTGAGAAAGCAGCTTCTGCTGTTGTTGTTTTCACTAACACCGAGTTATTGCTGCCCAAATGAGGTTCCTGTGCAAAAAAATACTCATCACAGCTGCTCACAAATATCTCAAGAGCTGCTGGTTTGGCCAGCACCTCTTCCAAAACTCCTTTATCTCCACTAAAATCAGGGCAGCATTTTCCTGAATTTCCAAGCAGGGAGGTCGGTGCTGTAAACAAGAGTCAGGCAGTGAAGAAAGGAAGGAATAATTCAGTTTTCCATCCATCATCTGCTCCAAGTTATCTGGGGAAAAATGATTCCAGCAGGTGGGATTGGTGTGGGGAGGGAGGTCAGCTCAGATGTGACTCAGCCCTGTGTTTTTCTGCATTTTGGACACAACCTGTGTCCTGTGAGGAAAACCCAACCACGTCCTCCTACTCTTCCCCAAAAAGATTTTTGAGGCAGGAATTGATTTCTGGTTGAGAGAAGAGTAAAGCACCCCAAAGGTAATGATGTCACTATGTATTTTGGGACAAACCAGTCCTCTGGCACACAGAGATGATCAAATTTGCAATTTGCACTTTTGAGGAGGGCAGGAAGCATTTGGGAGCTCAGCACACCTGGACTGGTGTCCCAAAAGCCACCCTGGAAACCTCCAGAAAAACCTGCTTCTGCACATTTCATGTCCAACCCACCAGCCTGGAGTCAAATCAGCATTAAATATATGGGTATTGATACAATAATTGAGTATTTTCTGTTTCACAGAGTTAATATCACTTTGGGAGCCACAAATGGCTCATTCAAGCACTGAGGGTGCAGTGGGAGAAGGGAGTTGATGCTTCAGGGAAGGAGCAAATATTTCCCTGGCAGACTGACTCAAATAATAAATGGTGGCAGCTTGAACCCCCTCCAGGAGGCTGGAATTGGAGGAACTTGGAGAGATGGATTAATGGGCAGAGATGTGATGCTGCCAGCCAGATAATAAACAACTGAGAATAGGAGATTTGCAGAAAAATGCTCTTTTATTCCATACTGCCAGGCAAAGGCAATGACTCCAACTGGAATTTGGCCAGATCTCAGTTAACATTTCTTCAGGAGAGTGCCTGAGGATGTTTAATGGGGATGGCCTCAGCTCTGCTGATTTACAGAGCCACTGGGAGCCCAGGAAAAGCCTGGAAGTTCTGTTTGGGAAAGGTGACTCCAGGATTTGCTTTGAACAACCCCAACAATTCCCATCCACCACTGCCTTTAACCCAACTGCCTTGAGCTCACCAAATCTCATCCCTCCCAAAGCAGCAGGAGCTGCCCAAATCCTGCTTTTCCATCCAAGCCTGGGGCTGGGGCTCCAGC